TTATTCCCTGCCTGATAACTTTTTTTTTTTAATATCCAAACTCATTGATATTAGCTCATTTAAATGACAGAAATCTATCTTGATGATTCATTCACGTATTTTAATCTGAATATTAGAGACACATCATGTAAACAACAAGAATGGAAGAGGAATATGCAGATGCGGTACGTTATAAAGGTGTTTATCTTCTGCTAAATATTAAAACTATCACAATCTAAAATGGCATTATTCTTGTAGCCTTGCTGTCCATAGTAAACCAAGTGCCACAGAACATTTCCCTGGCACAGGCTGCCCAGAGAGGTTGTGGAGTCTCCTTCTCTGGAGATCTTCCAAACCCTCCTGGATGCCACCCTGTGCCACGTGCTCTAGGTGACCCTGCTTGAGCGGGGGGAGGGGTTGGACTCTCCAGGTGATCTCTAGAGGTCCCTTCCAATCTCAACCATTCTGTGATTATAAGGTAGGAAAACCTACAGCATTTTCTTTTCTTCATGCATTTATACTCCAGGCTTAATGATGTTTGATTAACATCATCTGGCTAACATCAACGTTAGCATATCTTATTTAGAATTAGTTTTACAGACACATTTTTATTCTTCTGATTTTGCATAATACAGTCAATTCTTGAAGAAGTGATTTATAAGGTTACAAATATACCAGTAGACTTCCTCTGCCCTTCCTTGCACCTCTAATCATAATGTGAATAATCTGTAGCTCTTAACCCCACATTCTGTACACTCAGAATTAATGGGTATGGTAGTTATATTAGGAGCGTTTTCAGCAAGGGCTGAATGGGCAGAAGATTAAAGCTGGCATGCAGAAAATCAGGCCTTAAATTCTAATGCCTTATAACTGTAAGTGCATTTTCATTATGATCGAGAGATTAGATAAACTAGTGCTATTGAGAGTAACTGTATTCACATGTGTAAAAAGAACTGAAATTACAGAATTACACAATGGTTGAGGTTGGAAGAGACCTTCACAAGCCTCTATCCTTTACAAAGATCACCAAAACCAATATCTTCTGTTGATTTTGAGAAGGAAGATACTCACCAGTTAGAAAATTGATTATTCCTTTTTCTACTTTTTGCCTCTCACCTTTTTTTTTTTTTTGGTCTAAGTAGCAATCTGAATTGACTTGCTAAATCAGATTAGCATCTGAGCTAACTTAAAAGTGGAGGGATGGGATGGTTGGCTACTGTGGATCTGCCATGCTTGAGGTCAAACTGCAGCTACTGGGGACTCTTCCTATTCCTGCGGTTGTCGCTTTTTTTTCGATTCCAGGACTGGTAAATATTCTGGCAAATATTGAACCATATTTCTAAATGCCTCTTAATTTTTCAAAATATGGGGTAAGAGAAGAGATATGTAAGAACGTAAACTATTCAGAGGGTAAAATGACAGCTATTGGTACTCTGAGATAACACAAGTTAAAATCTTGTAAATAGATAGCAAATCATTATTCTTTTTACTGAAGTTGTTGTATTGATACTGTAAAAGCACTACAAAACATTCTAATATCAACCCCTACCCACAAATAAAAAGTGCACTAAAAAAAGATTAAAAGGAAGTAAATACACAAACAACACTTTCTCTAAAAAATTTCCAATATACAGTATTAGCTCTGATCCAAACTTGTTCACTGCTCAAAATAAAGAGAACATGAAGCATTCCGCTCTGCAAATGTGACGTTTCAAACTTAACACAAGAAAAGCACAAGAACTAAATTACCACCCATCTCTACTCTGTCTTGATGTTTGAGTAAAATGCAGCCTGTTTTGACCACAGTAAAATAACGAACCAATAACCAACAACGAACCAGAAACCCAACCTGTGTCAGAGACCATTGATCACATATTTCATGACTTTCTCTCAACGTTATAATTTGAAAGGGATACTGGCAGAAGACAAAGCTGCACATTGTGCTATCTGTTTAAACTGACACAACTGCCTTTCTCGTGATGACAACAAAGAAAGCTTGTTGATACTCTATCAACTGCCACAGAACAATTTTGCTTCCTCTCCATGACATTTGGCATGTAGCAGGGGAAGAATTTGTTTCCTCCTCATGTCTTGCCCTGATTAACACAGTTGTGCTGCAGTTACTTGGCTTCAGCACCTGGTTCATTAGGGTAAAAATAAATGTATTGCCTAATAATCTGAAGCAGTATTTGTGTATGAAGAGATACTCGACAAACAGAGCAATTTGGTCTGAAGCTTCTTGTGATACCGTTATCTGAAAAGTTTCTTGTAGCAATAATATATTTTGCCTTTCTTCTTTTAGCAGAATGTGGTGGTGTTTTCTTATGTTTTCTGTTGTGGAGAGTAAGGGTACTCACTTTGTATAACCATACAAACTAACCATCATCTATAACTATACTACATATAGGGAGTATATACTGTATACTATATATATAGTGTATATATATATATACACACTATATATATACACACACACATACTATATATATATATATACACTATATATAACTATACTATAACTAACCATAATCTATACATTTCATCATGATTTCTTCTGTAAAAACAACATTTAGTTTCCTTTCTAAAGTCTAGTTACTCTTAATAATACTGGAATACAGCCAACTATAATCTAGAAAAAAATAAACAAAACTTTAAGAATATTAATCACTTAAAATGTGCTAACATTTTAGGAGGAGTACGTAATTCATGACTCCTTTCTAATAGTTAACTATTTAACTCCTATTTAACTCCTTGAAATTGGAAGGAAAGAGTAAAAAAGGAGCTACCTTTACATTTCTTCCCTTTTCTTTGTTTAGTAATGGATATACCATTAGTCTTCCCTTACTTTTTTTTTGGCTAATTTCTTTAATTTTCACCTTTTCATGATCAAAAAAAAAAAAAGGTGAACATAATGATTCTTAATTACACATGACATGTTCATTACAGAAAAAGCAAAAACAGACCCAAATATGGAGATATAAATACAAGAGATAAAAGGTCAAACTTTAGGAATGTTTAGAAGACATTTGTAGCTTTAAAAGTACATTGTTTATATTGTATTTCAATGTCAGATCTTAGGGGAAAAGTATACATAGGTACATGGTGCAACTGTAGGCATTAGATATTGCAGATGCAGTTAGAGCTGAAATGGGAAAATAATACTGACTTGGCCTATCTTCATTTTTTACTTCTATTTCTAGAACAAATACAGCTCAAATGCTGTAGATGTAGATGTACAATCGAAGACGTAGATGACCTGTTAAATGTTCAGTATCTCCTCAGTCAGGGGTGGCAATACTTCTCACATTAGATTACCATTTTAAATATTAAAGAAACATATTTTTCACAGAATGGTTAAGGTTGGAAGGGACCTCTAGAGATCATCTAGTCCAACTCCTCTGCATAAGTGGGGACACCCAGAGCATGTGGCACAGGCTGGCGTCCAGGCGGGTTTTGAAGATTTTTGTGCTACTTTTTCACAGTCTGTAGCAACTCTGCAGCCTACAGCAGATCACAAGCCTGTACGGATGCCCTCAGGCAGATCACCATACAGACTCATCCAAAGATGCAAGTACTTTGTACCCTGGACGGATGATGACTCGTTTTCATTTCTCAGTCTGCACTCGGAGTGCGATATTATGTACCATATGGCCACAGACTTCATAAATGAGTCTTCAAGGAATTCACCCTATGGCAGAATGGAAACAACTTTGCTATGTAGCAAAGCTATTAAGCAATGGTTGGAGGACCTAAAAGATGAGTTGCATGAAAGGAAAATCCTCCATAACCCTGGATGCAGGTACAAGCACTTATTATAGCAACATCAAAAATGCTTCATTTCTGATTTCTAGCGCAGGCACATTAAAAGCAAACACATTTATAATGATGTTTTGTTTTCTCACTATTACTCAATTACTTTCCTGCCTAGCAGAATTAAGTATTTTTTTACCAAGACTTTTGCAACTTGACAAGCTTTAAAATTTCCTCTATTGCCTACATTGTTTTGGAATTTCTAACAATTGTTCGTAGGTTCCTAAATTTATTTTAATCTTGATTGTGAACTCTTCCTACTTTTTCTAAGCAAAGCTTGTGAATCTCCAGTTTCCTACACACGCTCCTACTTTGGGGCTAGTTTCGTTGAAAAACTCATCCATCTCTTTCCACAAACCACAGAAAAAGCCACATTTTATACCTTCTCATCTCTCAGCTCTTACTCAGAGACTTATAAAATCTGAAGGGAGCATTCAATATGATGAACTTTTGTCACAGAAAGGTAAATCTTTCAAGTTTCCTCTGTAATAAACAGTGAAAAATAGGCTTCTCTGGAGAGTAATTATGAGCAGGAGTTGAACACTGGAGTTTTGAATTGGCCTCTACAGCAGCTCCTTTCCTTCTCAGGAGCATAACAAGGTACTTTGACAGTGATGGAGAGTGTGGGGAGAGGATCATGGCAGTCATGCTTGTGCGACTGCGGGCACATCCACTGGAGGTCAGGGAAGGAAGGAAGGAAGAGGTGGTAACTGGAAACAGTGTCAAAGATATGTGAAGAATTGTGGTCATTTGAGAGGAAAGAGCATTGATCTGGTTCCCTAGCCTCCCTCACCTTTCTTCTTCTTCACTGGTGCATATAAAGGTAGAGTTTGTCTTAAAATACACTTTCAAATTACTACAGTGTAGAGAAAATAATTTCTTTCTTGTGTTAAAATAAAACAAAGCCAAACAAAACCAACCAACCAACCAAAAAAACACAGAAAGAGCAGAATGTTCTTGAGTTATGGAGGCATAACTTTCAGGAAGGTAACCATGGACTGAGTAGCTAAAGGTATCTGCTATTTCAGAAAGACATGACCATCATTGTGTAGCACTCTGAAAAAACTGAAAACTCTGAAAAGCAAATCATGAAGTTTGTCTTTTTCTTAGGCACACAGCTAGTAGCCTTACTGTGGTTGAATCAATGGACTGCCATGCTTCTTTGGTTCCTGATTCTCAGTTTTTATAAGAATATGGTGAATGTAACTTACCCGTGCTTTCTGCTCCATCTCCATCATTAATCTTTCATGTTGCTCTGCTATTGCCAGTGTTGCAGAATGAACTTTCTGATATATCATCTCTCCTTCCCTTGTCTGAAAGGTGAACAGCCCTTCTCCTGTGTCACACATCCTGAAATGAGATTGAAGCAGAATGGAAGGAAAAAAATTAGTACTTTTTCATTTTTATCCAACTATTATAAAAAATGCATACTTTGCAGTAGAGAATGCCAACTTTTATAGTTAAACTCTGGAATTCTGAACATCTGCAAAATTATTTTTAACCAGTGAGGAGAGACATATTCCAAGAGATGTGCGCAGAACTTGATGAACATAACCTTTAAATTCAGTTTTAATCATCCTCTGAACGGTAAGAGAGAAGTTTTATCATAAAATAAAATCCTGAGGTAATACACTCAGCTATTCACAGCACAATTTAAAGTGTCTGCACTGGTAAGTAGAACTTCAATTTAATTCTCTTAACCAATTCATGCCAGAAGTACATAGCACATCACAACATTGAAAAGCTGAGTTTTTAACAGAATACTGACCAATAAAAGTTGCTGTTATGATGATCACTACAGAGAAGATATTTTGAAATAGAGCATTAAGAGTGTTAAAATATAACTCTGTCCTTTTAGGAGTACATTTATGTAAGGCAACATAAGCTATCCTGATAATTTCAGAAGCCATTCTGTCTGAGTATATTTGGCATTAGCAGAAGTATCTCTGTTGTATAAGAAGCTTAAATAATGAAAAACATTACATAATAAAATGATTTTATTGCCCTTAGGGAGTAAATGCTATATTATCTTTAACTTTGGTATTCCTGTAGCATTATTCTAAGAGAAACAAAAGAGTGGTATGTGGTAAATGTGATGAGCCAGAGGGCTGTTAAATAGAGTATGAGTAAACATTAATGTCAGGTTATTGAGTAACTTCAAAGGTATATACTGTGTTAAATAGCAGTGCAATCTGACATATTCAGATTAGTGAATCATAAAAAAACAATTCTCATTGCCTTATGTGGATCCTGATAAAGACAAAATTATGCATAAATAGCATTTCCTTCAATAATTAGTTATTGCTTCATCAGTAACAGCTAATGTGTGTCTGATTTCTGCATTTATAAAGAAATCTTTATGAAATTTTAGAGTTGAAACTTATTTGATTTAATGTTTTAATTTGATCTTATACTTCCTATAATGATTTTCAGAGTTAGCTATGATATAAATTTGATGTTTCGAGCCATTGAAACATCCTTCAAGAACAGGAAGATTTCCATTTGTCTAAAAGACCAAATTTCTTTAATATTTTGGTTGCTTACATTATTTTTAAGGCATTGATTTTTCTTTCAGAAAGTGTTGTCTATTCCAATGTCTCCAGTATGAACCCTGAAAATCTCAGGCATATGAAATTGCTAATCATTTTAGAAGTTGTCCCTAAAACCCCAACTTTCTAACAAGTTTCTAAAAATAAAAACCTTTACGATTTGTCTCTCAGACTCTGGATTGTTGTTTAACTGTAAAATTAAATGTAAATTTTCCAAAATATTTTCCAATAAGCCAAATAAGGGTGTGTGTGTGTGTGTATATATATCATTTTAATTAAATAATCTCTACATACTTTTGCTATATAACAGAAACACACACACACACACACAATTATATTAGACTTGTTTGAAAAATGATATTTGCCATAAGAGTGGTTTTGGTCCAAATTAGAATTAGCAAAACTAAGTACTGTACTATTAATAACATCTCTTTAATTCTTAACTGTATTTATAAACAGGATTATTGTGCTGAGTAAAAGACTATTGAGAGTTCAAGAATGTCTTGTGATTTCAAGGCAGATCTAAGGCAATCTTACTAACTCCTACGAAAGCTTTTTCCATACACTGGAAATGTACACAGTTTTAGGAAGTTCCTTCTAAAATTGTATGCATATGTGTGCTTGGGGAGAGAAGAAACACGTGAAACGGAAGTGCTTCTTAGGGAAGGAAAATGCAGATGAACACTCTTAGATCAGCTGAGATGTTGAATGGAAAGTCAGTGTTTTAAGAATAGACCAGATTCCCGGCATTATATACACCTACACTTCTGAAACAAAAATAGCCTTGCCTAATCTGGGAAGTAAAGAAAATGCATTTCGCTTTGTAGACTTTATTCACTTTGTAGCTATTATTTCATCAGCAGTAATGTGATGTGCCAATTAAAAGACAAAAAAAAAAAAAAAGTTTTGTACTAAATTCCAGTGGACATCAAGATCCCTGCTGTAAACATTTAAGAAGATAGTTATACCCTTAGCCACAATCTTCCACA